CCCGGGTTCAAGTGATTCTCCTGCCTCAGCCTCCTGAGTAGCTGAGATTCCAGGCAACTGCCACCACGCCTGGCTACTTTTTGCATTTTTAGTAGAGACGGGGTTTCGCCATGTTGGCCAGGCTGGTCTCAAACTCCTGACTTCATGATCTGCCCACCTCGGCCTCACCAAGTGCTGGGATTACAGGCGTGAGCCACCACAACTGGCCAAAAAAATGGATCTTAATGCACTTAAATGCACATCTGGCCAGGCGCGGTGGCTCACGCCTGCAACCCCAGCACTTTGGGAGGCCTAGGTGGGCAGATCACGAGGTCAGGAGTTTGAGACCGGCTTGGCCAGCATGGCGAAACCCCGTTTCTACTAAAAATACAAAAAATTAGCTGGACATGGTGGTGCGTGCCTGTAATCCCAGCTACTCTGAAGGCTGAGGCAGGAGAATCGCTTAAACCTGGGAGGTGGAGGTTGTAGTGAGCAGAGATCGTGCACTCTAGCCTGGGCGACAGAGTGAGACTTTGTCTCAAAAAAATAGTGCATCTGAATAGCTGCATGTGGCCAGTGGCTACCGTATTGCACGGTGTAGTTGCAGGGGCTGGTGTTCAGTCACCCACAAGATGTCTGACAGAAGATGAATCCAGTGGAGGAAAACAAGGCAGGGGTGGGGGCTGCAGCTTTAAATAGGAGTGCAGGAGACGCCTCCTGGAGAGAGTAGATGGAGGAAGTCAGGCAGATTCTGCAGGGACAGGCATTTCAGGCAGCGGGAGCAGCATGTGCAAAGGCCCTGGGGTGGGAGGGCAGCTCCCCTGGGGCTGGAGCTGATAAGAGCTGATTTAATGTTTAGCAAGGGTGGTGGTGGCTGCCGGGAAGGGAATGGATTTCAGTGGCGTGGGATCAGAGTAAAAGAGGTGAGTATGGACAGCTGTCAGGACCCAGGCAAGGATGGGTATGAGACAGGGCGATGCTGGGTACATTCGGGGGCTAATTTGAGGCCTGCGGGCCCCTTGGACGGGGAATGCTGAGGGTGGACTGGGCTCACGGCGGGGAGAAGAGGACCCTGGGCTGGGGGTGTTAAGTCTGATGCCTCTTCCCTGTCCAGGCAGAGTGTGTCACCGGGTGGGGTATTGACCTTTTGCGATTTCAGAGCCAGGTGTTGTAGGCAGCCACACTTGCAGCTGGGGAGACTGAGGGAGGCTCAGAGAGGGTATGTCCTTCAGCCTCCCAGCGCAAAGTGGCTGCCGGGGCTCCGGCACTCTCACCCTGCCCTTTTCTCTCCACGTCGGGGCAGTGGTCAAGCCAGAGGTGCTACAGAAAGCCACCGTGGAGCTGCTGGACCAGGCACTGTGTGCCAGCCTGTACGGCAACTCGCTCACTGACAGGATGTTGTGCGCCGGCTACCTGGACGGGAAGGTGGACTCTTGCCAGGTGAGCCCCCAACGCCCCAGACCCCAGAAAAACACAGAAAGACATGAGCGTGTTCAAGTGCTGAGGGGTTCACAGATCCCTGGATGCCCGTTCTTGAGGAATTTTAAAGCAATTGGGACTGAGAGGCAGATGCCGCTTAGAGGCTCTTCCAGCTCTAACCTGACTACTCTCCCTCCTCTACCCTCCATGGCTCCCCGCTCCCTCCCAAGGGGCCCCAGAGGCTGCCTGTGATGGGGTCCCTGTGGAAATCCCCCCAGCTCCCCTATAAACTGGGACTTCTGTGTGATACAGACCCTGTCCCCAGCACCTGCCCTGACACAACATGCCCCCCAAGAAACATCTCTTGCAGGAATGATGCCAGCACACGCCCTGGGCATCAGTTTCCCTCCATCTGGACAGGAAAGGCTGGTCTGTGGAAACCCCGTGGACCCTTGCCCCGGGGTGGTCAGCTGGCCATTAGGGAGCTTCAGGCTCAAATCAAGAAGCTTCCAGGAGAGGCCGGGCGCGGTGGCTCAAGCCTGTAATCCCAGCACTTTGGGAGGCCGAGGCGGGTGGATCACGAGGTCAAGAGATCGAGACCATCTTGG